TATGTTCAAGAGTGGGAATAGTTCTACTTTAATCTTGCACTTATTGAGATGAAATATGAAGTGTCGTATGTTCAAGAGTGGGAATAGTTCTACTTTAATCTTGCACTTATTGAGATGAAATATGAAGTGTCGTATGTTTGAGAGTGGGAATAGTTCTCCTTTAATTTTGCACTTAATATATAGATGAGTTGAGATATGAACAAACGTCATCACTTGAGACTTCCCCTCACCACCTTCTAAGCATATTAAATTGTTTTTGTTCTGTTTGCATACGAATAAAGTTACACAATAATTAGTTTGTTTGTTTGTTTGTTTGAAGTGAAGCACAAAGCTACACAATAGGCTATCTGTGCTCTGCCCACCACGGGTATCGAAACTCGGTTTCTAGCGTTGTAAGTCCGCAGACATACTGGGGGGTACACACACAATAATTAGAGAATGAGGGTAAGGTTATTACACTTTTCATTAAGTTTATGTAAAAGAGCTAGCACATAGCCCCAAGTAGAACTCTAAAGGATGACATTTTTTTTAAAATATGCTATGTTAAACTACGAATCTATAATAAACTGAGTAATTGGATAAAGATAAGATGATAATCCGACAGTACTTTTTGAAGAAAGTTGTAGTAAATTAATCATCAACTCACAGAGGTTTAAGAGTTCAACTTAAATCGTTTTGAAACGTAGGAGTAAAAAGTTATGAGTAGAAAGGAAAATCATGAAAGTGGTCTTTATTCATTGAGTATTGATTTGTCTAAAGATTCAACTAAACTATCATAATAAGTAGAGGATTTAACAAGTGGTTAACTAGCGGTTTGTGTTGTTAAAAGAATGTTACTAACTAACGATTGGTAGGCGCTTAATTAACCCTTTAGCTCAATTGGTAAAGCACTCACCTCGCATGGGATAAATTTTGGGTTCAAATCGGAGAGGAGTTGGCGGTGAGAGTGGTTGAAAAATATACCGTCCATCTATTTTATAAGTTCAAAATTAGGTGCGTCTATCTGCAGATAGTCCTTGTGGAGCTTTGCGCGAAATTCTGAAACTTTAAGTTCATCAACGTCTTCACTTCGTGTGAATTTCACAAATGTTAGAAAGTGTTTCTTTTCGTTAGATAGTTGGGAAAATTCAGATGAGTGACACCATTTCTTATTTATTTTTCAAATTCATGGTGCAAACTCGATGAATGATGGCGAGTAACTCATCATGAAATAACGCATCAGCCGATATAATGTATTGGTGGGGTGCCACGATATTAACACTGAATAAATAGATTATTAAGCACAAAAAAGTTCTTCGACAAATATAAATGTATTTTAGTAAAATCATGAAAACAAGTATGCGTATTTTGATCTGTATTCCTTCTTCATGACAGTAAATATTTATATTTCAGAAAAATGTGAGCCCGGAAGCTTCTCTGAAACCGGTCTAAAGCCATGCCAACAGTGTCCAGTCGGGTACTACCAATTTAATTACGGTCAATTATTTTGCCAGGAATGTTCTGGAAACTTAACAACTGCAGAGGAAGGTGCCAAATCTTCAAACGACTGTATTGGTACGTTGCTTACAAATATTATGTATACTTTGTTTGTTTTATATATATAACCTATAGAACTATTTCATTTTCTAAAATCCATGGTATTTTTTGCAGTATATTAATATGTTATTTTTCTGGTTTAGAGTTCGACCACTGTTATCAGAATCCCTGTAAATATGGTAGCAAGTGTATCAGCCTCAAACATTCGTATTCCTGTGAATGTGGTCCTGAACTGTATGGAAAGCAATGCGAAAGAAACGTTAATGCCTGTTTAGAGCAACCATGTGCTCATAACAGCACCTGTGTAGATCTCGGTAAGAAGAACTAACTATTTGCTTTAAATACAACAAGCTTACTCTAAGTTTTATTGCAATACTTTTTTCTTGTATGTGTTCATAGTTGCATACATATTCAACTGTTTAAAGTTACTTAATGTGCTGTTCTTCAATAAGAGAGAAACTATACTTTGTCCTGACTTATTTACTTCATGCTTTAAGCATTCTAATAATTTTAATTTTTACCTTTACCTTGACAATATATATATCCACAGAAAATATCAGTATTTCCTAAAATTTCTTCTTAAACTTTATCGTGATCTTTGATAATACTAACTGTAACTGCTTCAAAAAAATTCAGTTGTTTTGTTCTATCAGAAATTAAATTAGGTTAATCATTAGAAAACTGAAATTGCAAACTGCTTGAATGTGGAGCTATGATTGGATGTTAAAAAGACATTTAAGGTTTCATCTTTAACCCTACTGACGATGTTCATAACGAGATAATGAGAAATAGTTTTATGAGAGCCAAGTTGAACACGGCTTTAAATCATCTTAAAATCGTATAGCTTGTTACTTCTCCTATTCATATACTCAGATTTACTTTTAACATGAACGTAGTTTAACCAGTGTTTCGACCACATTTTGCTTTAGTGGTGGGATTTCAGTGTATCTGCCAACCTGGTTTCACTGGTGAGACTTGCGAAGAAGAAATCGACGAATGTCGTGTTGGTAGTTCAATAAAGTGTAAGAATGGAGGAACTTGTGTTGACGAAGTAAGTTTGTTTGTTTGTTTTTGTAATTAAGCACAAAGCTACACAATGAGTTATCTGTGTTCTACCCACCACGGGTATCGAAAACTGGTTTCTAGCGTTGTAAGTCCGCAGACTGGGGGGCTACGAAGTAAGTAAACAATAAAAGTACAACTGTTTCACGAGAAAAAAAAGAGAGAACTTAGTTTCGTTTGTTTGAAATTTCCCGCAAAGTTACACGAGGGCTATCTGCACTAACCGTCCCTAATTTAGCAGTGGTAGACTAGAGGGAAGATAACTAGTCAACACCACCCACTGCCAATTCTTGGGCTAATCTTTTACTAACAAATAGTGTTTGACTGTCACATTATAACGCTCCCGCGGCTGAAAGGGCGAGCATGTTTGGTGACGGGGATTCGAACCCGCAACCCACAGATTGCGAGTCGAGCGCTTTAACCATCAGGCCATGTAAAAAATAAAAAATAAAAATAGAGAGAAAGTAAAACAAGAAGTTTAAGTAACTGTAGAGAAAAGAAAATTACTCAAATCACTGGATACATGAACACACATACACAATTGTTCATTTCAATGAAGAAAAGGTGGCGTAGTGTAGAGGCCTAATTTATTCTTTGATACTGAATTCACATCTCATCAATGCTGTTTGGAAAAGCGAAGCAAGTAAATAAAGTAGTCCTCGTATACTGTTGGAATGTAAACAGTTTGTTAATAGTGGTGAGTAAAGGACTTTATATCTAAGCCAAAAATTACTTATATAATAAATATATGTTAGTCTTTATGCATTAAAAAACGAAAGTATATCGAAAAATGTCTTAACATTAGAATTAATAATATAGTTTCTGTATTTTTCCTGATTTTATAAGTACTAAAATGTTCCCTGAAAGTGATGTTTATGTTCCTGATATTCAAACTTGAAAAATGGTATTAACATTATGGAAACCAGCATGGATTAATGTTTAGAACCCTCGAGTCGCAACCTGCAGCTTCGAATCTCATTACCGAACATGCTCACCCTTTGATAGGTTATAATGTGACGGTGAAGCCCACTATTCGTTGACAAAGAGTAGCCCAAAAATTGACGATGGGTGGTGTTGACTAGCTGCCTTCCCTCTAGTCCATCGCTTCAAAATTAAGGACGAGTAGAACAAATAGCTCTCGATTAGTTTTGCGCAAAATTCAATAAAACAGACAATTAATTTTAAACCGTTCTTTGGTTAATATACTACTGTGTTCTTGAAGGGTTGTAGTTTTTACGGTATGCCCCGAAAGAGTGGATTATAATTATACTTTCTTCGGACGGTAGTATTAAGATTACAGTGTGTTCTGAAAGTAGTATTCATACAACCAGTGTCTTGAAGTTGGAGTTAGCACAACAGTGTGTTCTGAGCGTGAAGCTACTACAATATATTCTCAAATAGATAACATTAAAGTGCATTCTGAAAGGGTCGTAAGAATTATTGTGTATCGTGCAAACGGTGTTAATTCTATCTGTTCTCAAACATGAGCAATAGAGTATTATTTTAGTAGAATGTCGTTTGGTGAAAAATGTTCTTTAACTATTCATTCAATAAAATTCTATAATTTGAATAAATATTCCATAAGATAAATACTCGAAGATATTAAGTAATTGAAGAAATAGACACAATTTCACTACAGTCTTGTAGTGAAACTCCATTTCACGTGTGCGTCTTTGTTTTTACATTATTACAAGTGCAAAAAAGTTTTAGCAGCATAGGTTCAGAAACAGTACGAGTAAGCTAACATCAAGTAACATGATGCTTTCAAATGTTGTAATGAGTCAAACAGTTCATCGAACTGACATATTATGAATATTCAATTAAATGATTGATCCTTTTAAAAACTTGAAGAAAAATCAATTTAACACTTTTTTAGCAAATAAAAATAATAAAGTCAAAAAGTCCCACATTTCGACTTCCTTTTCTTGTTATTGTTACCACAAGGTTGGAAGTTTTAAGTGTATCTGTCCTCCGTGGACGATGGGTGATTTCTGTGAAGTTCTTGTCGATTTATGCGAGACACAGCCCTGCTACTTTGACGCCAAATGCCGGGCAATAAATTTCACGAGGTTTTGTGACTGTGCTGAAGGATTTACAGGAAGTGACTGTTCAGTAAATATTGATGACTGTTTTGGAATAGAGTGTCATAATGGAGGAAGGTAGGTCGAACTGTAGGATACACACTCGTCATACTCTTAAATCATTAGTCTAACTATTTAAATTCTTAGTTTTTATATGTATATAACCTTTAATTATCGTAATATTAAATAAATATCATGACTGATTAGTTTGTCTTTTTGAATAGTCCAAAATAATCATGTTTTAATTTGATCAACTAGAAGAAATAAAAACCTAATTATAGGTTATTTATGATTTTGAATAAAAACCTATTACTGCCGGTAATGATTTATATTTTTGAGTAAACAAATAAGCCCGATAAATATATATTTATTAATTTTATCTTTATGTTCAATGTTAATGATTTTTCATCATTTTATAACCCCCACAATTTAGAGTAGATTCTTATTTTTGAGCTTTCCCGTTGTCATCGTACAAATTCTGAATCTGTAGTTTTCTGCCTATGAGGTATTACTTACGCAGAAAGAAAACACGCAATTTGACATTCACGCATATAGTATTCTGTTTATCAATGACTTTGCGAACACCTATATATTTGATATTCACAAATTATATCCCATTTCCAAACAACTTCGTAGAGTATATTAAATACTACTAGATTATGTTAAGAAACAACAGTTGTGTTAATATTAAAAAAGAGAGAGAGAAATGATTCAAATGCTTCTTTAGAAGATAAAGTAATGCTGCATTTATTCAAACTTTAATATTCAGGCAAAAACGTATTAAAGTGATAAAAAACACACACAAAAACGAGTTAAATAGGGTAATCATCACCTATGGTTTTACACAGTTCAGTAAGAAGACTTAGACGACTGCTTTGGTGGGGTGTTGAATAAGTTTGATGCCATGTTTTAAAATTAGCTCACTTTGCAGTTGCCTAGACATGGTAAACGGATACAAATGCTCATGTTCTCCCGGATTTACTGGTGACTTCTGTGAGACGAATATCAATGATTGTCTTACTCATCAATGTCAAAACAATGCCACTTGTGAAGACGAAGTAGGTGGATATGTGTGTTTCTGCCTTCCTGGATTTACGGGAAAGTTCTGTGAAACAAGTAAGTTTACACTATTATTTTATTTTCTTAATCGGTGGTGTGCTGTAGTAGTATGTTAAATGCTATGTTGTAAATACATTATAATGTGCCGATTTTTTGTTGTGTAGATTGGGCCTATTTAGATAACTTCAATGACGGATGCATCTACATATATCAATGCAATAGATGCGGCAGCTCTTATGTAGGTGAAACGGGACGTAACATAAACATTAGGATTAAAGAACATAACAATCTCCCATCACACATTTATGAACACAGCATAACAAATCAACATCCAATCAATAACAACAACTTTAAAATATTATGTAAAGAAAACAATATCAATAGAAGAAAAATTAAAGAAGCGTTAATTATCCGCGATTCAAAACCTAATTTAAATCAAAATATAGGTGTCTCTTTATATCTATTCTAAATTGGAACAAAAATGCTCGAGTAAATTACTAATACTTAACACTATATCATAAGTTTACTTGATGATGATCACACAAGTGGTCGAAACGTTGTAATAAATTTTCTAAAAATAAAATAATCCACTCAACAGCTGTCCTCAAAGTGTTATTATTTAAGTAAAAGTGGATTTCCCTCTCCTTTCAACAGTAATAAACGTATTATGAATACATATTTATATGTATGCTATTAATTATTTAGGTTTGTATATCATTTATTTTTTTTTGTATACCTTATTGTATAAAGTATAATGTGCAAACGTCAGGTAGAAGAAAATTCTGCTCTCTTTTTTATGTCAAATTATGATTATAATTATTCAATGTAAAACGTAATAATAAAGTTCAAACAATGAACATTGTTATCACCTATATCAGTTTGCTCGATTTTAAAAAGGTTTGATTAAACACAATTATTAACGAAATATCAATTTTAAATTATCCATACACCAGTGATACAAATCAATTTAGTTATGCTTTAATGGTTTGATATAAATATAAAATAGTAATCATCCCAAATATAAGATATTATCATTTTTCATAGGACTGCCAAGAACACGATTATTGTTTATGCTACATATATGAAAAATATTTTAACACAGTATAATCTTGATTTTTGTGTCGTTGTTTTTCTCAGTAGTACCTAACACATATTCATTCTGGATTTCAACATCTAAACACTTAAATACACAAACTGCATCACAATCAGTGCAAAAGTGATCTATCTAATGGATTGCCCTCCGAGTTGGGGATAGATAGGTCCAAGGCTGGAGCTGAGATATGTCAGTGAACACGCTCTGCGCTTTCTGCTGTGGTATTATCACTGTAACAGAATCTCGCTTTCTGGTTATGAGTAGCTGTATATGAAACAGCAGATGCCACCAGTTAGTTGCCCTTCCTCTGATCACAAGGTCTAAATTGGGGATGGCTTGCCCCAAAGTTAGGGTTTAATATGTTCTAACTTAGATCAACAAAATTGACCAAAATTAAAATAGTATGAAATCAAGTGAATGATTGAGTAAAATATAAAGTGCTTATAAGTACTCTATTTGAATATCATGATAGTAAAGCTGTATACATTATTCATTATATTTTGAATAATTTATTCAGAGATAGATATAAAAAAAATTACGTTTATGCTAAACCATAGAATTGGAACCCAAATGATGTATAGTTAGGATGTGTTAAAAGGCTTCAAAGTTAGTATTTTTAACTGAGTGTAAATACTAATTCAGTTTACGTATTTGAGAGTCGAATTTGTAACAAAAATTTCCATTTTTTTTCATTGCATACCTGTTTTCTCTGATCCAAAATTGTTTTAGAGCTACTAGGTTTCTTATGAAGCTAAATTGTTTCGATCATGTCAAGTTTAAGATGAACATTTAAACTTTTTTTTTACCGTGAGAACCACTTATGTGTCAATCAGCACTGAGAATTAACAGATTATTTATACAGGAGAATATGTACTTGTATTAATTCTAACGACACATTTTAAGTTCCATCTCGAAATCGACGACAATACAAACATACTAAGAAGTCAATGACATTATCTTGATTTTCAGAGATGTCTGAAGACTTCGTTATGAACTTTCAACAGCCATTGGTGTCAAATTTTGCAATATCTGATCATGTTCCGACTATGTGGGACGTGACACTTGGGTTATGGGTAGAAACTAACGATCGCCGACGACCAGGAAGTATGTTTTCTTACGCTACTGATTCTAACGGTCAAATACTAGCCAATGCATTATCATTAACAGACTATGGTTCGGTGAAATTGTATGTGAACGATGAACCAATTTTTACTGACTTGCCTGTGAATGACGGCAAATGGCACCAGCTTACGTTTACTTGGTCATCTGGACATAGAGGTATTGTTCTGTTTTTGTTTTGTGTAACATTTAATTTCATTCATTGTATGAAATTGTATCAAATTAATTGCCCAGACTCCAGAATATATTATTTTAAATCGTAAATACATATGTTATTATTAACTATTTAACACATACCTATAATGAAATTCATTCAAGTAAAATCTCAGAATCCCTAGTATGTTTGGCGTTTCCTGAAAAAACATTTGACGTAAATTCAGTGTGATACTTTATGTCTTTCATTTTGGTTAGAGTTTTTCGTCCACTTGTCAAAACAATAAGCACACTATTTTCAAATGGTGTATCACTGAACATTCATACGTTTTTTACATTGATATTCTATTTTAGTAGTCTTTGTACTGCTAAAACAAACCCAAAAAGCAAAGAGTCATCATAGTGTCCTTCAATAATTCTCAACAATAATATCACTACTTGAAACCCCACATGTAAATAAGGTTCGTGCTTGTTATGTACAAACCTCTGTTCAGTTCATAAACTACGTATTGACTCCTAATATCTTTCGGTGTAGCATCTTTTCCAAGAGTACTGTATATACATTGGTAGTACTTAAGTACGATGTCATCTTCTCTGGTAATCATACTTTCATTGTAAGGTGTATCTGATTTTCATACATAATGTCTAGATTTCCGTCTCAGAATTTCTTAAAATAAAAGTGATTCTAAATTTCATAATAAAGTATTATTTAATTAGCACGATAAAAGCTCAACGGTAAATCTGAAGGCTTATAATGCTAAAAATTGGAGTTTCGATACTCGTATTGGACAAATCGCAGTTAGCCCATTGTATAGCTTTGTGCTTTAAACGAGCAAAATAAGTTAATTATTAAATAATCTCATGCTATAATCAATTTCCTACTGGAAGTAAAACTCTTAAAGTGTTGAGAGATTTGAGAGTTGATGTGCACGAGTGTGATGCCACGAAATGGTATGTAACAGACTTTTTTGACAAAAATATTCCTACGCTAAGATTATAAAGATGTTCTTAGATTGAGGATTTAGAATTTACAAAACGGAGATATCCCTTGTACTTAATAAAATTGGAAAATGAGTCTCACCCAATCCGTGGTAAGCCAAGTGTGGCGTCTTGTAACAGGTGAGAATACACGGCAATAAAGCTCCAACATCCTTTTAATAGAACGTACTCAACCTCTGTACCACAGATAGTTGTACATTTCTTTTAGAACTTGAATTATTTTGTGAGATTCATATGGGATTACGAATAATTTTAGATATATTACTCAACTAGTCAATCTATTACATATTTCTAACTTGTTTTACAGGTGAATGGAAATTATTTGAAAACGGACAGTTAGTAACAAATGGCACTGGAGTTCAGAGTGGTAGGCCTATTCCTGGCGACGGGACATTTGTGATCGGCCAAGATCAGGATAGTATAGGAGGAAATTTCAGCCCTCTAGAAGCTTTTCAGGGTAACATCTCAAGGTAAGAGAGCACTTTTCAGGGTAACATTACAAGGTAAGAGAGCACTTTTAACTTTCTCCGATTAGATTTTTTATGGTGCATGTAGCGCTAGGGACCATAAAATGAGTTAATTGTAATGAATAATATAAACATTTATTTTAAAATCTAAATATTTAAAGGTGCTGCTGAGTGACTGACTTCCTTTTGTTTATTAGTCCATAACTTGGGACAGCGTCAGATAGCTTTAGCAGTTTTGCCGTATATAAAAGATATATTAACTACAAGATAGGCCTAACCTATAAACCTTTTTTTTTTGGTAACACCAAAATTGTTAAAGACTAAGCGTGTACACAAATTGAATTTACTATCTAAGTCTTCTCCATTTGTACATGTATTTTCACTACTCGGCGCTAGATGTTAATTGGACATAAAACAAACAAAAAAAAAAAACTGGTATGAATTTTAAATGATAATCACTTGCCTAGATTTTTTACCAAAGTTGGGAAAGATTAAATACATTGTAACCTCACAATGGATTGTGGAAAATTGTAAAATATTTCGAATATAAGTATTTATTAAGCATAACTAGAAAATAAACTTATTCCAAGGATAAATCAAGGAAACGGTTATCTAGTATTTAGAAAGACAGGAGTAATGATTTGTTGTAAGCTGATTGAAGAAATACTCGCTGTGAAGACAAACAAAATAACAATTTATTAATGAAAAACACAAAATAATAAATTACAAGCTGGCTGGGTGTTTGGGTAGAGAAATGTTGCTATTTCGTTGTGGTTTTTAAAATTCAAAATAAATTATTATGAGAAAAGTAAATGAAAGAATACTTTGCTTAAATAAAGGAAAATAAAAATATATCTAACTATTCATGTGACTTCAGTTTTAGACCTGCTTGCTGTATATGTTGAAATACCAAACTTTAACTGCTGCTTGAACATGCACTCAAACAAAATACAAACAAAAGATAAAACGATAAAAAACCTTATAACCCGAACGCTTTCGAAAGGTGGATCTTCCTTCTTCAGCGGTAAACAACATAGATGACACACATAAGACATTTCCCATTACACAACACATAATGCGAGTCCGATCAATAGCTTAAAAGTAGCTCCCACATTACACAGGCTGATTGGCAGGATACAAAACTCACACAATCATTTATGAAAACTGGAAGCATTCTTGGGTCTACTTTTATCATACAGGTCAAAGTGAGGCAAGATCCAGAGAAATAAATCAGCAGGATCCTACCAATACAAATGTATATGTGCATATTACTATATTCAGCGACTTAAGTCCACACAGAATTCCACTGTGCCTTCTATACTGTATATTATATTTAATAAATGTACTATTGGCAATAACCAAGAACTCGCTGAAGGTTGAAAGATTCGATAATTCAGTAACTGATATACCTCAGTGCTGAATATTACCTTGGTACCCAAAGGAAGTCTACATGGTAATTACCTCATAAGACACTTGTTTCTAATACCTGTATGATACTGGATAAGATTTGTTTCCCATCCAGTTAACTGATCCAGCAAATACATTAGAAAATTAAATCACCAGCTTCCTGAGGTTTTTCTGTTGTCTGAGCTCAAATAACATACAGAATCCTTGATCACTGGCCCTAGATGTACTGGTAACCATACATTTGCACATGAGTGTAATGAAGCAGAAATAACACTAGCCATACTGCCAATTTCGGTCATTGCTCACCAATAGTCATTCCATCTTGTAAGTTTACTGTTTGTTCTCCATAATTACAAGCCATATTTGGAATAAATCTTGAAATTGGAAAGCAGCCTGCTTTTTAATGAAACAATGTGTATTAGGCATCATTTCAATCACAGCATTAACTGAAAATACAACTGAAATTTTATTAAAACACTAATTGTGTATTAAAGAGAAGTATAACACCACCATGTACATACACCTATGCACTCCATAGTTATTGTACTTATTTTGTTTGGTGTTATATATTTCCGAACAGAGCTATGAATGACAAAAACACGTCCACAGTTGCAAATATCTCTTTACCCTTCCTCTATACATGGATCAGGGCAGTTCTGTATCCAAATCAGCAGCAAAGATGGAGCAGCATGCCTTAAATTACCAAACTGTATACATAGTTAGGCAAGCATTTCTCCTCTCTTGTCTTTACATGTATAAAGATGTTTCTCCATTCACATAACCAACACAGATGAAGGATTACGATAAGAATATCTCTTTTGCTCAGGTGAATGCTATTCATATTGAACTGAGTCACCATATTGTGTCTGCAGGGTGCCATTTGCCACAGCTTTTGTAATGTGGGATTAACACAAGCAGGAGCCGACTTTCTAGTTACCAGCTCATTCCTTGTTGCTACTAGCACAGTGTCAATTAGAGTCATAATATCTATAATACCCATCTAGTGCACTATGAAATCATTATGAGGTCCCATACAATCTAATTGATCATAATATCTTCTACTTGGCTACCACCATCATGGAGTATGCTTCACATATAAATATCTTAACTCCTCTAAATATGCAGGTAAGTTTTCACGGCGATCACATTTACAGGCCTTAAATTCTGTTCAATCAATTAATGGCTCTATTTGTTAATGAGTCAGACATCAACACAATAATACTACAATGGCCTTCCAACTACAAAATTGGCTATGTTCCAGGTACTTCACATTATCTACTGCCAGACAACCTAAGCGGCAAATGCTGTGTCATTTGATTCTTCAATTCCAAATAACTACCTGGCAAAACCACTTAATGAAAAGAAATCTAAATCCTTTTTTCCCGAATCCCTAAAAGATGGAAGCAAGATCTGTTTCACCTCCCTACTCTCTGCCATCTATAGCAAGGCCAAATGTCCATCATTAGTATCATTCAGTTCAAATGACTGTGTAATCAGAGTCAAAATATTAAATGACAATTCTCTAGTGGCTGGAATTTGTGTATTTTGTTAAACATCCAACTTCCCCTTGAATTTGCTATAGCAACACTTCCTCAGTGCAAAAGTATCATTGGGTGAGATTGCTGGAATACAAGATTTTTGTTGTTGCATTGCACCAATAATTCTATCTTCATGAGAAGGCTTATCGATTATCAAAGGTAAATCAATCACGTGGCATGATGGTGAACACACCACTGGGAAACAGGCAGGACTGAATTGGTGATCACTGTTCATCTCTAGTTATATTTCAAGTGGTTTATCTAGCATAGAGCTTCTGGACTGCTAGATTCTGACCTATGTGGCTCAATACAGAGACTACCCCAGAGTCTCAGCATAACTGCAATTATTTACCCCTTTTTGGTGCCTTTCCTTAGATGTTCTTGGGCTTGGCCGTTCTGCATACAAATTACTGTAGTTCAGTAGTTATAGATAAACCAGGATGTGTTTCAGTCATCTCAGTGAGTGAAAAGAATGTGGAGCTCTGAAATTCTGGGTGAAGTGAATTTAATAGATTACTTCTTAGGATTAATTAGGGTCCACCGATATCGCCTTAAGATCAGTTTGGCCCTCCTTCTCTCTCTGTTATACACTTTATCAGATCGAAAGAGACATCTTTTGGACAGTGTCTTACAAGAAGCTCAAGAAGAAATAGATGAAAGGAATCAAAAACACAAATTAACTTCCACATTTGGTTGATGATCAAGGTAAGGTGTGGTATTCCAAGGATAACAAAGCTCAAAATTACCTGATCTTTGCAATAACAATATATTCATGAATACAGTATTTAGAAGAACATATGTAGCGATTTGGAATTAAAGACGCATGACTCTTCTGAAAACAGACAAAAATTATAATTTATTCATAATGATAATAAAGTTGGCTGATAATTTAAATGGAAGGTTATTGTTTTGTGATGTTTGAATTAAAAAATAGATAAACGAAATTATCATTAAAAGTAAATGAAAGGACACTAGAAACTGGATTACAAGTATCAGGGAGTGTATCTGTTCATTGTGATAGCTGTAGAGTAATTCCAAGGTAATGTAGGTCATAATAAAACTGTCCCATGAAACAGCATATAGCTTCTATGTCTGAATCCTACTAGCCAACATAACACTTAGTGTTGAATTGACACATAATCTCAACTGGATTTAGCATATTCTGATTTAGAACCGTTGAAAAATTGAAATATTTTAGAAACATACAGAATTTTTTAAAGCAAGTAAGATATGCAGTACTTATTATTATAATTTTATTGTATATACACACTTGAAATAAATGCTGCTTACCTCATTTTTCCATTTCATAAAGTGTTCTAAGGAGCAAAGTGCAATACGTTTGGAATATTATTCTGAAATGAAATGAATAAGCAAACTTGAAGATGATAAAATTTTATCTGTTAGAAACACTCCTTTAAATATGGAATTAAAATTCCTCTTTTTTCTATTGTATTATGAAAGTTAAAATTTATCCAGCTTGTTCAATTAACGTTTGTAAAAGTTTAAAAATGAACGAGTCGAAAGTATCATAAAAATATCATTAGAAACTTCACATGTTGTAATATTATAAGTTAGTATTTGTGACTGGATAGTACAATTTTGCATAGATAAAACTTGAAGCATGTAACATCTTTTATTGAATTTTGAACCTTCTAATCGTCCCTTGGTTTGTTTTTTTGGTCTCAAGCGAATAACGCAAAACTGGGTAGATATATATATTATTTACATTTACAACTTATTTTGATTAGAGTGATTAATATATGTCAGTAGTCTAGCATCATAAAACTTTCCATAAACAGAAATTAGTAATGTACGCTAGAGTGATAAATGTACTGGAATAAGGAATAGATAAACGATTATTTTCAATTACTGTATTGTTTGTTTGAAGTTATGCACAAAGCTACACAATGGGCTATCTGTGCTCTGCCCACAACAGTATCGAAACCGGTTTCTAGCGTTGTAAATCCGCAGACATACCGCTGTGCCAATGGGGGGCACAAATACTGTATTCTTGTACTCAACATTACCTAAATATAGTTTAAGAGAATATTGCATTTTGCAATTTCCATTTTGTATAAAGGTGTGTTCATGATTCATGCTAACAAATAAGGTTAGGTGACAAGGCCTTATAATCCCCTTTTCCATCACTGATGGTAGACTCTGAAGTCGATGTTGTCCTTCTCCTCTGTACATGCTTTCCAAAGTGTATCAACCATGCATAAACAACGAATTCTTAGTGAATTTTAGCAACCGGTAGATACAGGTTCTATCCAAAATATATGAAGTATACCGTGAATTCTAGTTAGTACTTAAATCCTGTGAACGAACTGGCATTGACATGAATGTGAGGCCATATGTATTATTTTAATTGAACAGTACCTTATTGGAATCCAGTCTCTATATAGATAATATTTCCTCACTTTACCGTTTTGACAGACAAGGTACAGAGTTTATCTTAGCAAATGCGTCAATTCTTGGGATGTGTAACTTACTATTATAGCTATAATATGGAACCATCATAAAAAATCTTGGAAAACAAACATTTTCATTCGTATTATTTTTGAATGTTATATCACTGGAAGGACAATAATAAACTGGCTGGACTTTTGTATAAACTTAAACACGTACATGCTTTGTCTAATGTGATACAAACATCCATTTGTAACATGAAAGATACAACTAGTATATCTCAAATTTGTTTATCTTTTTTTAGGGGGTAAGTATTTTGGAAGAAGCCTTTGAACATGGCTCTTGTGTCGCTTTTGAGGACCTAGATGTATGTGATTTATCTTGTTTACACATAAAAAAATTCGTAATTTAGCTGTAAAGGGCCGGTGTGATCTTAGGCTATTTTCCATGACAAATTATCTCCAGCATACGGTAAAGGTTGTTGGGAAACCTACTTTTTTTTCTGCCAGATGTATGCTTTCAATTGCTTTACCAACATGATTCAAATCTACAGACATCTTGAGATGCTAAAATTTCTGCAAGCTCTTCTAACCGCGGAATAAAACTTCACGTCGAAAAGCCCTGTAATGTAATCTTTTTATTCAAAGAGGGTCAATTTTAGGCGCAATATGCATTTGCACTTCAACTGAACTGCAGCGAGGGGACCGCGGCTTTTAATTTGTGTAATCATAGGTCACGGCGTTGGGCAGGGACCAGGTGATTGGATATGCAGGCTGTTACTAAAGTTCGTGAACAACCATTTCTATTTATTATGATCGTGTATGTTTGAACAAACACCCCTTGATTACCATTAAGTGTTTTATGGTGATTTCTGAAACTGTTTTGATTATTCGATGTGTACAGAATGCTCGAATTATAAGTAAATCAAAGTCTCTATAACATATACACCATCACCGATTAAACTTAAGGTGTGGGAGGGGCGAATCAGCAGAGACTGTGGAAGTGCTGTAAGCTCCTCCAGTGGGATCAAATTTCAGGCAGCAGAAACGGCTGGATTTATTATTATGCTAACTTAAAAATCACAGGCTTCCTTGTATATACAATGTGTGATCTCGCACCACAACATCAAAATTAAAACAAATGAACTGGCTCACATGTGCTTATCTGAGGGAGGAACCAATATTGTGGTTAAATGTTGCTTCTACTGTTGGAATTGACCATATGTTTTAGTAAGAATGAATTTTTAACATGTATTTCATGAGTATAAAACACGAGTTTTACTTTTCTAGGGTTAATGTTTGGAACAGGATACTGAAGGAAAGCGAAATACAACAACTGTGCAAGTTTGAAGACAATCTTCCTGGACGTGTGAAGGCATGGCCTGATTTCCTACAGAATGTCAACGGTGGTGTTCAATTACGCCTGGACGAAAGACCACAACTTCCACAATCATGAACTATTTCATCACTTTTTAAACATCTATAAACTACATCTTTCGAAGGTGTTTATCGGAATCAAAGCCGAGTTTTATAGAAACATTTTATTCTATAAATACAGGAACTGAAAAGATGAAACTATCTAAAAAGCATATACTCAATTATATAACACCTTCTATAACAAAACTTGCTAAAACTCTTCAACAAAAATTACAAGTAATAATAATTAGTCTTAATTACGAGTAACATAAATCGTCAGCTGGGTATCCTCGCTGTTCTTGGAAAGCATTGAGATGTATTGCATGCATGTATAAAAAAAATATTACAATATTTATATATATGAACAACTGCATACCAATGTATGAAATACTTCAAATATTTCACGTGTTTGAGTGTGAGGGATATAATTACATTTTAGTGAAATGGGAATTACTTAGTTGAAGAAAACATTTAAGGCTGTTTTCGAGCATTTACTTTATACTATTTTAAATTAATAACACACTAAACAGATATGATTCTGCTCGTGCAAATCAAATGGTTAATTATGCATTATATACTTTATATGAAGTTGATTTAAGGTGACAAATATTTATTCTAAATTAGAGTGTAAAAATGAAAACCTAAATTCAGAAGTGTAAGTACATAAAAAAGAAGAGAGATATAACAAGGACAATAACTCTCACTTTGAGTCCAAATATTTAATGTGTTTGTGTTATATTATTATTTTTATGCATTTGTAAAATGGACAAATCACGCTTTTATTCTGATAAATTGCGGGAATTCTAGTTATTTCACGACTATATAAACGACACACACACACACAAAAGAGATGAATGATCGTTATATAATGCTGTCATGTTTTAAGACAAAATTAATGACGATAATACTCACGTGTCTTTTCTATATTCAACCAAAAACAAAAATACAATAATATACATATAACTTGTTTAAAATTGTTTTCGGGAGGGCGCTTCAGTGTCCTCATCTACCCCCCCCCCCATATAATTTCATATTGATAGAATTATTGAAAATAGTATGTCGTTCTTTTCAGTATTAGTACCTTTAAGTATTTTTATT